TGGAAGCTTGGAGGTTGATGAAGTGTACTGTACAGTAAGATGAAATCTAGTTACCGAAGCATAGGAAGATCATCAAGAACACTGTTGGAAAAGGGTGATACCTTGGTGGTTGGTGGAGAGGCGTGTAGCGGGGAAGTGGGTGGTGAAGCGGCAGCAGTAGCTGACCAAGTAGACAAATCAGTTAGGAGAGCGGCTGGTTCTTTCTTGAAAAACATCATGATAGGTAGTGGTTTCCTCTTGGCTTTGAGGTCTCTAAGCATTTCACTCCACTAAAATCACTAGCACTGACACTAGGCAGTTTTTTAGGGGCCATTTCGCACAGAAACACTAAAATTTTGAGTGTAACACAAGAGAAGCGGCATCACAGGCAATGATTGAGCACAAACAAAGGGAGAGGAGATGTTACAAGCGCGTGGGAGTGACTCGCTGCGCTGCGGCAGAGGCTCGTAAGCTAGCCACCATCTGCTTACAGTGAATAGTCAAAATTGCAAATCGCAAACCCACGAACAGCAAGGGTTTACTGTAATGTATTGATATTAAGTGGTCAAACATATTATATGGCAAATAATATACAGTAGTCATCAAAGCAGTACTTAAAAGGTCATTTAATGCATCCTGACTCCCGTTCCAAAGGTAAGTACAGTAGGGTCGGGATATATAGCGACTTTATATAATGATTTTTTTATATCGTGCTACCAAAATTATCAAAATTTTCCTATATATAGCAATAATTTCTTTTATTTCGCGAGGGAAATCGGACAGGAAATATTTAAAATTTAATCACGACTACCAAAATTATCGAAAATTTCCAGTATATAGCGATAAATTTATTTACAGTAGACTCACAACTTACGTGGGGTTATGTTCCTGGGACCTCACATAAAGCCACAAACCATATAAAGTAGGAAGCATTCCTAAAAATCCCCCAAATCACCCAAAATATACAAGTTGAAAAACTGTACAGTACTTAAATGTACTCAAAAAGACTAAAACATCTATCTCTTATGCAAAATATATGATGTCTATATTCAAATTATTCGCTGTCTTACTTGGATTCCAGCAATGCAATTTATATTTTGTTAACTTTAGTTTGTGACATTTTATAAGAAAAACTTTAAGCCTCAAAACCACAGTCACCCTTACTGGAAGTCGGAAGGGAGTTGATTTATTATGACAGTTGGGCCGGAGCACAGACAACGGTTACATAGTGAAATTTATTTATCTGTCTTATTGGGGAAGTTTAAGTTTTTATCTTATAAAATGTCAATGAATTGACTTAAGATAATATAATTAACATTGCTGTAATTCTTGTAAGCTAGCGATAAATTTGAATATAAACATGCTATAGTTTTCACCGGACATCAAAATTTTAGTAATAATTTAGTACAAAGGACTAAAATTTTTATCCCTTGTGCAATATATATATATATATATATATATATATATATATATATATATATATATATATATATATATATATATATATATATATATATATATATATATATATATATATATATATATATATATATATATATATATATATATATATATTTTTTACTGAGGATAAAAATTTTAGTCCTTTATGCTAAATAAAAATATATATATACATATATATACAGTGAACCCTCACTTTACGTGGTTAATTGAACCCACGGCGGCCCGCGTAAAGTGAACAACATAACATGGGATTAATTGAAATAGAGACCGGGCCGACCCCCAAACTCCACTTTTTCCTGACACAATACGTATGTTTTACTAAAAATAACATCTTAACTTTATGATGGTATTCACACACACATAATATAGAAGGGAACAATCAATAAGAGAATAATATACTGAAGGTTAGGTTAGAAAAAAACAAGGTTGGGGTTAACACTTACGTTAGTAGAAGAGATGGGTCGGCGTAGGGGAATGGAGGCTGGTTCCGAGGCAGAGGGAAGGCTACTGGCCCTCAGGTGAGTCTTCATCGCTGTCATCCACACTTACTAGTGCCTCCCTGACAAATCCCTCAAAGTCATCATCACTGTCTCTGCCTCTGTCACTATCACTGGCTTGGGCTGGCTGTGGTGGGTTGCGGGCGAAGAACTTGGTTATGCTTTGCTGACGGCTGGTGTTTATGTTGTCGTGATAAACCTTGATGTAGGGCTCCATAGTCTGCAACAGCTGGGTAGTGAAGATTTCATACCTGTTAGCGTCAGGGTCGTCGGAAAGGAGGAGCGTGACTTTCTCAATACACTCGATGGCACCCCTTACATTACTATGGGATAACTGGCGTTCTTCTTGGGATGACGCACCACCTGCCTCTTCACTGACGTCATCATCATCTACCATCTCATCGGTAGTCACATCAGGATCCCTTATCACCTCCAGGATGTCGTCGTTGGTGGTCTTGGAGAAGCCTGCAGCTGTAACACTCTGCGCAGCTTCTCTGGCAAGGTCCACTGCTACTGCAACAGTCTGAACCTCACCAGTCACAGATTTACTCTGCCTAACACCTGGAATACCTTGCAACACATGTCTCCATGCGTGACGAACAGTTGCTACAGACAACTGATCCCATGCCTCCACCAAGAAGTCCACAGCTTTCTTGACGTTGAATGTTCTCCAAAATTGTCTCACAAGTACTTTTTGCTCTGCCAACTGTTGATCCTCGTCGTCTTCGCTCTTGCTATTGGTGTTGGTGTCACTCAGGTTACGCAACCCTTCCTTGGTGTTGGTGTAGTCGTTCAGGAGCTTGAATTTCTTGGCAGAGAATGCAGCTTTTACATTACACATTCAATTCTTCGTCCATGGGCTGTATTATAGACGTAGTGTTGGGAGGAAGGAAGACCACTTTTACGTTGGGGTGACGATCTAACAGTAGGGGCGAGTGTCCTGGTGCGTTGTCAAGCAGCAACAAAATCTTGAATGGAACATTCTGTTGCTCACAGAATTTCTTCACATCGGGAACGAAACAGTCATCAAACCAGGAGGGGGACAGAGTAGAGAACATCCACGCCTTACGTGCGGTCAGCCAGTGGACATTTAGCTTGGTCATGTCCATGCTCTTGTAGGCGTGCGGCTTGCGTGCTGTGTGGATCACCGATAACTTGAGCTTACAGGTACCGGAGGCATTGGTGGTAAACAGGATGGTGATGCGCTCCTTCTACAACTTCTGGCCCCAACACTTGCTGGCATTCTTCACAACAAAGGTCTTGGAAGGTAGCTTTTTCCAAAAAAGACCAGATTCGTCCATGTTAAACACCTGGTCGTCGGTGTACTGTCCTTCCTCCAAAATCTCACGTAAAAACGGAGGAAATTCCCTAGCCGCAGCAGGGTCAACACTAGCTTCTTCACCACCAATGTTGATATTGGTGATCTTGTTCCGGATCTTAAACCTCTGTAACCACCCAGAGGAAGCATTAAAGGGTTTGGGCTCTGTAGTTCCCATCTTTCGTGCCACTGCAATGTACAGTTCACGTGCGTACTCCTTAACAGAGTGTGTGTCGACCGCCATGTTCCGTCGCGCCTGACGCACCAAGTACCTCACAAGTAATTTTTCTGTCTTGAGAAGCACCTGGTTGTGGAAATACTTGATCATAGAAGCACCTGTAGACTTTGTGATGTTCATGTGCTCCTTTATCTTGGCTGTATCCATCTTAATTGTCCTGATAGTTGATTCGTTAACACCATGCTGGCACGCGAGATCAACCTGTCTTGTTCCTTTCTCCAACTCTTGTATGATCTTATATTTGATTTCGTAGCTTAAGGAACGTCGTGTCTTCTTTGGCTTAGGGCGGCTGGGTCCAGGTAATGCAAGGTTTCTGTGTGGTGGTGGTGGTGGTGGAAACCATTCTTATGGAACAATGGATACCGATAAACACGGTGTAGCCGGGAGGGGTGTAACTGACGCGGGTAGGTCAAGGGGCTTGAACGCTCCAGCGGCGGGGCACGTCATAGTACATTAAACCAATCACAGCTAGCGGGGAGGGAGGTAAGGATGCTTTGCCCAATCACAGTCCGATACGTCATATGACGTCACCGATAACGCAACAAAGACATACATTGCGCAACCTACTCGCGCCGCTTACACAACATGGCGGGAGGTTTGGATCCAAAAAAAGCTCGGCGCGAGAGGACTGCCAGCCGCTCTCCACGTAAAAGGGTACACACACTGCGGAAAGTGAGCATTCCGTGTTCGGCAGGGTACAGCGTAAACGTGGAAACGCGTAAAGTGAAACCGCGTAAAGCGAGGGTTCACTGTGCGTGTGAATATATATATATATATATATATATATATATATATATATATATATATATATATATATATATATATATATATATATATATATATATATATATATATATATATATATATATATATATATATATATATATATATATATATATATATATATATATATATATATATATATATATATATATATATATATATATATATATATATATATATATATATATATATATATATATATATATATATATATATATATATATATATATATATATATATATATAATATATACACAGTATAGTCTTGATTTATGCGGTCAATTAAACCCGTGGATGTCCGAGTAAAACGAGGAACGTGTAAATGAAATAACACACATGGGTTATCAGAAATGAGTAAATTTTCATATGCCCATCAATGTTATGCATGTAATGTATGTTAACAAATCTTACATACTCTTGTATTAAAAGTTACTGAAGTCCACATTTAAACTGTCTTAAGCTTCTGGCTTAGGCTTGGATTCCATTTATGCGGTAGTAGAAGCGTTAATGCCAAAAATAGATCATATTGAAATGTACCCAGTGGTTTCCATTGACACAGATGCATTCGCGTAATGCAATTGCAGTACATTTCAATCGGTCCCTGTAACGATTGAAAACATAACTGCACGGAAACAGAAGAGAGACTACCACACTGTGACGTCACTATCCCTGTGTTTGTTCACCTCGCCCAGCAAAATGCCTTGAGGAAAAAAAAATTTGTCAAAGATGTTCAGATCTCCCTGTATTAGGTTCTCCACACACAAATTAGACAATTTAAACAGTGTGATAATATGAGCATAAAGGCAGCAGTGAAATTAAGAGATAATAGCGAGGAATAATAGGTCACACTTTATTGCCTAACATCCTTGGACCCTATCTCGTGATATATCCCGACCCTACTGTATACAGTACTGGCGAGATATTCTACTACAGATGAATTTTGCACTCACACTACGAATATGATGATTTACAAACCACACTTTCCTCACTGTAATCAGTTTCTTAATCAATATCATCATAGCTTGCACGTGGTCTCTTTGCCTCAGGTCCTTCCACATCCTCCTCTTCCAGATTATCCAAATCTTCCATGGAGAGGACTGATCTGGGTTGTCGTACTCCAACACTACCAGCAACACCAGTGCTAGAGAAGATACAAAAGTTAATACCTTCATTGCCTCTATACATCCCTAAGCCAAATTAAACTACACTACAGTGAATCCTCGAAGATCCGGACTAAAAGGGGGGACCACCTGTCCGGAAAAGCCGATTGTCCGAATTTTCAGGTGAATAATAAATGATACTATAAGAAACATAAAAAATACAGTATTAATGTAGTGTTAAAAATATTACCGTATTTAAACCATGCATTTACCCGTGATAACATAATAAGAAACATTGTATCATTACTAGAGTGAATGAAATAATATTCCCACAAACAACAATTGTCAACTCTGTTTATGTTTCCCACCTCCTTGGGCACCTGTGTCCAAGCAACTGATGGGTTAAGCAGCTCCCACTGGCCTAAAATGTTCTTTGCTCTGGTTTGGGAATGTTTCTTAAGGAAACTTCTAGGAGGCTTCTAAGCCCACAACCCCCATTTTTTTTGTCCGGATTCTCTGAAATCCGGATTTCCTGGGTCCGGATCTTCGAGGGTTTACTGTACTGTATATATATTTTTGTAAAATTGTGCTGAGCCTCCTCCAGCATACCCCCAAGTTTCCTAGCTGCTTGTAACTTTTAAAGTTATGTAGGACTTCATTCAACACTTCCATTCCTAACCATAAAAAATACTTGAATTAGCCACCAAACTCTATAGCAAAATTTCAAGTTGAATTTCTCTCTTTCAAGGAGGAGGCTGTATATGTGTCACCTACCCATATACTGTAGTCTTACAAGATAGCCATTCAAGGAGGATGTTGTGTACAAGTTACCTAAATATGCAGTCTTCAAAGAGTACAGTACAGTATACTGTCAAAGCACCACCTATCGGTAGGTGTATTTTTTTTTGACATATTTCACACAGCATGTGGTATATGTCTCTGCCAAGTAAACACAACATGAAGTGTTGTGTAGCACTTGTAACAAAATTAGCGGAGCGACTAAGTGTCCATTTTTTAAGGAATCTTGCATTTGTGATACAAGTATATGACAATTGGCATGAAGATTCAATATGGGTTAATTCTCAAATATACTGTACTTCTAATTGGACATTTAAAATTCCAAGAAGGTGGCCATTTTCCAAGATGGCCACTGAATGTGGATGTCAGATTTTCCTTTCTGGCATAAAAATTATTGTGTTCATCAATTCAGGTGATTTCAGTGTTGACTTCCATGTTTTTGAGTATGTAGAATCTGAATTTTGTAATGAAAACTGTGAAATGGATAGCATTCAAAGGAAACATGCTTATAAAGAGTTAGTGTCAATGTACTACTAGGGCACACTGGTGTCAACACTGCTGTGAAACTCAGCATGGGGTTCACTGTCACCTAAGTACGAAACTCATAGTAAAGAATAATATATATTAGGTTACTTTTTTTTTTCGAAATTGGTTATTTTGCAAAATTTCCGGCATGCATGCCGGTAATTTTGTGAACTAACTTACAAATAGACAACCTGAATTAACCTAACCTCATGGTTAGGTTAGGATGGCTCGTGTCGATTGATACACAGTTAAGTGACCCTGTTCTTTTTTTTTTCTTTTCAACTTTGGTTAGTCTGTTTGTAATTTTTTTTTTTTTTTTGCAAAATTACCAGCAAGCATGCCGGTAATTTTGCAAAATAACCGATTTCACAAAAAATAAACGTAACATATATAAGTACTTAGTGTCTCAAATGTTACCTGATCAGCCCCAAATGAGGTTAGGTAGCCACACCTGAATTGACAGGGTGTGCCAGCATGGGAGAGCCAAGCCAAAGATTAAAGTTACCTGGATGGTGTACAGATTACACCGGACTTAAATGATACTGGATGAATGATCGGGCTAGGTGTAGGGCAAACAATTGCTTGAACCTAGTTGTATCCCAAACAGGTAAGTACATATGATACAGAGTGGTAAAAGGATAAACCCTCGGCTCTGTACCACAATGGCGATGAATATTGGTCCTAAAGGTAATCCTGAATGGAAAACAGATTAGACATTTTGTTGTCCATTAATCAAAAGGCATTTCTCTTCTCTAGCCACAGACCAGGCACACAAACAAAACAATGCAGTCATATAAGGTGATGGGGGAGCCAGTGGCCTGACAGAGGATCCAACAACCCTTAGGCGATGGATGGTGGCAGGACCTGAAGCTAATCGTTTATTTGCAGGATATGATACAATGTCAGGAACAAAAGAACCAAGAGGAACTAACTGATATCATGAAGAAAGTCCAAATACTCAAAGGTTGTTCTTTGATAAAGTGAAATCACTGTGCACTGTGTTGAGAGAAATGGGAAACCAATTTCTAGAGGAGTCAACTGACCTAATTATGTTAGACACAAAGGACATTGTTGATCCTACCCTCACTGAAATGGTTGGTACACACTTACAAAGAGGCAAAGAAAAATTTCAGACATTCATCCAGGGGCTGTAAATGAATGGGAACAATTCTTTATACTAGCCAATCAAGAGAAACAAGGTAAACTTCTTCAAACATGAACAAGATGCTAACAGTTTAAAGGAGAAGTTCCTGATGGATGATTGTCATTTATTTTCACAGTCGTTCATTTCTTGCCGACCAGACAATGTGATTTGCAAGAATTCTTCAACATGAGAATCAGTCTGCCCCTGCATCATTGAGTGACAACGATCAACTCCATACCTGTCAAAAATCTCAGCAAGTTGAAATTCTTGAAGCTGATGTAACTAAGCTAGACACAGAACCAGCTGGTAACAACATAATAATAGATTGTTCAACTATGATTAATGCCCTTCCTCCTAAGTCATCAAAGACTTTCAATGAATATGCTAGTGAAGATGTTCTTCCAAAATTGGAATCTTACTGTACCAACTATAATAGGGAGGATGTTGTGTTTGATGTCTATACAAAGGACAGTTTAAAAGTTGAAACCAGGTCAAAATGAGCTCAGATGAAGGGTGACAGAAACTAACAAAGCTCCAACAAATTGGAGAAGCTTTCTAAGCGATGACAATAACAATACAGTACTGAACTTTTTCACTTTCTTGCCAACAAGATGTGTGAAATTGTTACACCTAGCACAATTATTGTAACACAGGGAGAAGATGCCATTCGCAACCATGATACACCTCTAGAAGAGTTGACGCCATGCTCCCATGAAGAGGCAGATACTGTACAGTCGGCCCTTAACATACGCGGGGGTTACGTAACAGAGATACCTGTGGATGTTAAAAATCCGCGTATTTTTGCTGCCCCCCCCCCAAAAAAAAACCCTGGCCCCCCATGTCCTTATTTACCGTATATACCTGTGTGTAGTTCGAGTTTTTAAGACCAAATTATTTGGCAAAAAATTGGGGGTCGACCTCTAAACGGGTAATAGTTTCGTTAGGTTGAAAAATATTTACCAGTAACTACCAGTAAACAATGGAAACGATGCACCAACGCACCACCAGCTGTGAGTGTCGGTACAGTTGCCAGGGCAGATCTCTTACGTCATCATAGCAAGCCCAAAGTAGCGAAATCCATGGTATGGTAGCACAGGACAATGTAAAACATAAAGTATTCATTAATTAAAGTTTATTTATAGATACTGTACATAAATTTTTGTTCATTACATTTGAAACATCAATCTTTGTTAATTAAATTTGAAACAAAAGAAAACTATGATACCGTATTTTCATTAAAATATTACATCACAAGTATATTTTACCTCAACTGTGACTGAATGAATATACGTATTCTCAGAAATAAATATGGAAATATAATATTTTTGCTGGAATGACGTACATATTACAGTGGAAAGTGGGATAAAATCATGACGAAAACAATGACTTTCGCATTCTTTCGTTATTCAAAAGATTTTGCCATAATCGCTTTTCGAATGGTTTTCAGTTAAAAAACTGTTGTACTCGTACTGTATTACAATAATATTCTATCCTATCATTAGCCTTATAATCCCACAACTGAAAACCATTCGAAAAGCGATTACGGTAACATCTTTTGAACGAAAGAAAGAGAAAGTCATTGCTTTCATCACAATTTTATCCCACTTTCCACTTTAATACGTACATCATTTCAGCAAAAATATTACATTTCCATTATCTCAGAAATAAATGGTAGTTTTGTTGAAACGTAATGTACAGTATTTAATATTAAAATGCAAAAATAACTATAAAAACAATTAATACACCCATAATGTACTGGCTGGCATCTCCACTCGTCCCTGCTCCCGCGTCCAAGGTCACTACTCCTCCCAACTCGCTCCCTCCACTCCCTCCTCACCGTCACTACTGCCGACAACAAACACAAATGTTTTGTGAATAACTGCACCTCCACTTCCTATGTACAGTACTGAACTGTACTGTACTGTGCATTTTTACAAACAATAAACATGGCAAGAAAAGCTATAAAAAAAAGAGATAAAGATTTCACTTTACTGTACCGTACCTATCCTCGGCGACAGGAGGGGGGTCATAGGGCTCATCGTCACTCAATTCCATAACGGGTGGTGAAGTGGGGGCGACGGTGGATTCAGCTGCTTCCTCACTGCCGCCAGTGATTGATGGTGTTAAATCTCTCCTTCGGTGATCAAAGAACATGGTGATGGGGAGTTGTCGTCTCTTTCTTTTCATTTCTTCCATGATGTTTTTGTATGGAGCAAAAACGTCATCCATCCCTCGCATGAATTTCAGGGCACGCACCATGGAGGGGTCCATACTATAGGCCAGGTTTTTCAGTGCCTCAATATTCCTGGTCATCTCCCCCAACTTCTCCAACGTTATTTCTTGGTGCTCTTCCTCAACCTCTTTCCCTTTCGCTTCCTCTTCCTCTTCCTTGCCTGAGTCTACTAACTCCTGTAGATCCTCCTCGGTCATCTCAGTGTCGTGCTCTTCAATTAGCTCCCTAATCTCGTCCTCTGCCATGTCCTGGAAGCCTTCAGCAGCCACTTTCCTTGACAGTACCAGGGTCTTTCTGAATATTTTCATTAAAATCCATCAAAATCATTTTCCTTGTCATCGTCTTAAGCACCAAACAGCTCCTCCCAGTCTTCTCCTTGAACAGGGCTAGAGGGTACGTGTTTTTCGAATTGTTTTCAATTAAAAAAATTTTACAGCACATGTATATTTTACCTAAACTGTGCCTGAATGAATATATTCTCAGAAATAAATAGTAGTTTTGCTGAAACGTAATGTATTTCAATGTAAAATAGGATAAAATACATGACGAAAACAAAAGACTTTACTCATTTTTTTAATAGTTTTCGGTTAAAATACTGTTATATTACAATGATATTCTATTCATACTGTGCTTGATATACTACATTCACGGATGTGTAATATTTTTGCTGAAATGACGTACGTATTACAGTGGAAAATGGGATAAAATCGTGACGAAAACAATGACTTTCGCTTTCTTTCGTTCAAAAGATGTTACCGTAATCGCTTTTCTAATGGTTTTCAGTTAAAAAAACTGTTGCATCACAAGTGAATTAGGAGAGAATATTATTGTAATACAACAGTTTTTTAACTGAAAACCATTCGAAAAGCGATTACAGTAACATCTTTTGAACGAAAGAAAGCGAAAGTCATTGCTTTCGTCACTTTCCACTGTAATACGTACGTCATTTCAGCAAAATATTACATTTCCATATTCTCAGAAATAAATAGTAGTTTTGCTGAAACGTAATGCATTTCAATGTAAATTAGGATAAACTACATGAAAACAAAAGACTTTACCTAACCTTCCGATGTTCAAGATATGTTACTCGTTTTTTTAGTAGTTTTCGGTTAAAATACTGTTATATTAGTTATATTCTATTCATACTGTGCTTGATATAATACATTCACGTGAATGTAATATTTTTGCAACTACTGTACAGTAAAAGTTCAAAAATCCGGATGCCAGAAATCCGGACCACCCGAGAATCCGGATTCTTCGAAAACTATTTTTTTTTTTTTTTTTTTTAGCGGGCTTTTGTGTATGTGTGAGCGCCACAGCTGCACAGCGACAACAAGCGACCACGTGGTCGCCACTTTAAAACGAGCAATCAAACTGTGACAAAATACCGTATATACTCGTCTATAACCCCCCCCCTCGTTTATCGGTCGACCCTGATTTTTTGACCAAGAAATCGTTAATTTATGATATTCCTTGTTTATAGTTCGAGCCACGTTTTTGAGGGTAATGGAACAACAAAACTTTCAGTAAAAACGCTCTACGTCCTATAAACTGAGGCTCACCGTGCCTGAAACACGAGTGCCGAAGGCAAATTGTTTACCATTCATTAATACGACACTTTACACTGAAACGCGGGTAGTTTCAACAAAAATATTGTATATTTCCATTCAAGTATTTATTCAAGTCAATTAGGAGGGATTATTATTGTAATACAACAGTTTTTTAACTAAACCATTCGAAAAGCGATTACGGTAACATCTTTTGAACGAAAGAAAGCGAAAGGCATTGTTTTCTTCACGATTTTATCCCACTTTCCACTGTAATACGTACGTCATTTCAGCAAAAATATTACATTTCCGTGAATGCATTATATCAAGCACAGTATGAATAGAATACCATTGTAATATAACAATATTTTGAGTCCTACTCTTTCCATTTACAGAGTACTGTACAAGCCCATAATAATGGCTCCTAAAGTAGATAAACTTCGTTGTGTGAAGAGAAAGAAGAACACGTTGAAATTGAGTGACAAACTTGAAATAATTAAGAAACTAGAACGTGGTGTGAGCAATACTGTTCTAATGGAAACATACGACATTGGAAAGTCTACAATTTATGATATAAAAAAGGCAAAGAATAAAATTCTAGAATTCACAGCTTTTTCATTAAAACTGCTCGTTTTGATAAATAAAGCATGCTATATTTGCTAATGAATAAACTATCAAAATGTACCTGTTCATCTCTTCTTTATTCCTTCTTAAATTTGAATTTTACAAGTACTGCATGAGAATCCGGAAAATCCAAAAATCCGGACCGACCCAATCCCCAAGCAGTCCGGATTTTTGGACTTCTACTGTACAATGCTGATGTCAACACAAGCGTGGTTACAGCGAGACTGACTGAGTGAGGGAGAGCTATGCGTGTGTGTGTGTGTGTGAGGTTGCGGGAGCGGGCGGTGTCCCGTGTTCGGTGCCGCGTGCGAGTTGAATGGCGCGCGATTTGAATGTACTTCAATTACTTCAATGTACAGAATATTCTTCCGGCGGGGCAATCCGTGTATTTGCAAATCCGTGTATGCTAAACCCGCGTATGTTAAGGGCCGACTGTACTCGCCTTTTTGTACATGCAAGACAAGCTGTAATGGAAGGCAGTAAAAGAGTTCTCATAAAAGGCAAGGACACAAGATGACTTTGTCATAGCTATACTGTATCTGTGTTCACATCACTAGGAGAAATTGGTCTTGAAGAAATGTGGATTTCTTTTGGTCTTATGGTTCAGGATGAGAGGCGACAGGAATTTTTTGGGTGACTGTACATGCCAGTAGCTGTAAATATGAAAGAATTCTTATAACAATATCTCCCAAGGGTATGAGCAAGATATAAACATGTTTCTCATTGTTTAAGAATTGCCTTATCTTATTTTTATGAAAAGAGGTAAAGGTATGTGCAGAACCATTACTTTATGCATAAAAGACATATCTGAGGGCTTCAAAACAATCATAATCTGTTCTAGCATCCTTTAAACATAGGAATAAAAACCTTCTGTACACAGATTGCCCTATAATAAGTCATTATTTGTAAAAAATGTTTTCGGTTAGGCAAATTTGGCGGCCAACTTGGAATTTTGAATGTCCAATCAGATAGATTTGATAAGTAACCCATACTGAATGTTCATAACAAATTTCATGCTTGTATGATCATTTGCATGATTGTACCTGTTATCCACTACACTAAGAGTGCTTGAATGATGTTTTTCATCATCTACAGGTAACCGTAAAGTTGATCAGGAGGTAGATGTATCAGCCAGATACATAAACTTTGGAGGATGATGTGTAGATATCACCTAAATACAGTATTCAGTATTTTGAGGGATGTGCATGTTTCACCCAGCTACACAAAACATGGAGTACCATATGTACCCTCCAGTCAAACAGTGGTATTGTATATATTGCCTAGTTAATAGCTATACAGCAGCATAAGGTCTACAAAACATTTTCACATTTAAACAAATAATCTACAACAATGTACACACACAATAAAAACTATCTGCCCACCTGGGCCCAATGTGTTTGCAAAGGAACACAATGTACAGCAGTTTTGGTTCGGTTGTCAAAGATTCACAAAGAGTGATCAGAATTGTTTGACCATTGTGTCATATTGTATCAAAGAGAAAAGGGGCAGAGGCTTTTTTTTGTGTGAGTACATCTATTTAACTTGATTTTCATGATATTGTTTATTACTGTACTTTCAAATTCTCAGAATGCATAACATCTCTTACCTCCCTGCTCCTTGCTGACCACAATCAGAAAGAACAGCATCAAGAGAATTAAAGAGAGACCGAGCATTGAGCTGAGTAAAGCACATTGGTGGTGTAACTGCAATTACGTTGCGATTTGGCCCCTGTGCTTGAACCAGAATATGATGATCCTCTTTTAATCTAGAAAAAAATATATATATATATAAAAAGGATACTATAATAAAAAAATCTACCTTAATAATAAGTCCCAAATATGCTGTAACAGGACCTATCATCAAAAAGTTTCAATATAACATTTCATGGAAGACTTATTCTGAATTTGACAATTCTCATGATCAGTATTACCACATCATCATCCTCACATTGTCATATAGTCCACAGCACCATAAGCACTATAAGTACATTATCCTGGGTCTAACATCATCCTTGACTTGACACCATCTTGGGACCATCATCCTAAGTCTGATACCATCCTAGGTCAACTATCATTCTTTACTTGGCATCATCTTGGGCCCGTATCATCTTGAGCCCTGCATTGTCCCAGGTCTTACAACATCCTGGACCTCACATCATCATAAACCACCATAATGAGTCTCATATTCTTGGGTTTGACAACACCCTATGGTCATATGAAAACCCAAATTATACTGACACCTACAATATTTTTGAATCCACATCATTTTAAGCCCTGGATTAAATTGCATCCATCAATATCACTGGAACCTAAAACTTTTCAGGGTCTGACAATATCCTAGGTTCCACACAAATCCGAGCCCAGGAACATCCAGACAACCACAACATCTGACCCCACAACAACTTCACCCAAGTATGTCTGAGAACATTTTGGGTCTCACACCAACTAGAGCCATGCCTTACACCATGGCCCTTAGATATTCCTGACTTAATGGTAACTTGGGTCTCACATCATCTTGACCTCAATTTATCCTGAGCTCCACATCATCAAGACCTCTATAACATCCTACACTGAGTACGTACCATTAGAGTCCTTGCGTCACCAAAAGATATGCAAATCATTCTAGTCTTAATGCCAGTCAGGAATTTTTTTATTTTTTTCACTCTATCTTTGTATAACAACACTGGGTCATTAGGGTGTGTCATAAGAGGGAAGATCAGCTAAAACTAATGGCCCATCACTTTTTTGGTAGATTTTCGTGTATATAAACAGAAAATAATTTCAGTTTCAATATTTTGCAACCTTTTGCTAGGTAAATTTTAGCGTGAAATTTATCGAAAATCTAACGTACAGCTGCATTAGTGCATTACAATTAAATAGTGAACATTGCTTTCTGACTTCATTCTTTAACAACCCAACTAACAATATTTTTTTCTGTTTCAGATTCTGATGCATTTATAAGTTGATAATATTTGCGATGGCTGCTTGTGTCAGGACGAGGAACCAAAAATCCAGCCATCTCAGTCACTATCTTGGGTCTGGGAGAGAGCTCCTGAAGTCGGAGTTGCCTACATTGAGAGATGCTTTGAGATATGGTGTTTTAATCAGGCAAATCAGTGAAAAGAACCAAAGAACTTACACAAACAAAGACATTGCCAGTGATATGACCAAAGCTGTCTTGGCACAGTACACTCTGGCTAACGCTCAGTTCAAGCTTCCAGTCATAACAAGTCAGAAGAAGATTAGTGAGAGACTGCTAGCCAGTTGGGAAAAGGCAAGAGATATCTCTTGGGAGAGGAAAACTTGCAGTTAAGGACAGCCAAGGGCGGAAATGGACCAGTTATTTTGATGAGAATACTGCAAGTGCCCAATTGTTCTTCTGTCCTGAGTTTGGAATGCGTCTAAGTGACTGTAAATCGAGGCCCACATCTCTCCTGTTGCAAGGACTGAAAGATTCCTGTGTCCGAACTGGCATTTGTCAAAGCACAGAGAAGACTGGCAGTATAGGGGCTCTCATAATTTCTAGCCAAGATATTCCGGGTCAAGAGACAGGAGGCTGCCACAGAGACAGAAAGAGGAGAAGATTGCCGAGGAAAAGAGGGCTTGAGGCCCAGAGGGGGTGAGGGTAAAAAAGGCCGATGATTGGAGTCAAGCTGATTCAGGGGATTTAATGACTTCCCATATGGCCAGTCCAGTGCTGACCAGAATGGTGACTTTGTCCTAACCCAGAAAATAATGATCCCAAACCTTCCAGGAGGCATAAGATTCGAAATAGGAAAGATATCCGAGCATAATCTGGCCAGCACTCGCGACACCACACTGGTCTCAAGAGAAACTACGAGATAGCAACAGCTGCCTGGATTGGCGGTGGTTGATAACACCTGATGATGTTCACCTGGTGATAGATCATAACAAAGTAAGAGAGCTCAGGGAGAAACTTGTCGTGGCTTTTGAAGGAGTTTGATAAGGGATAAGAGAAAATGGAAGATTAATTGTTTGTTCTTTGATAGGAAGAGGATGACACTAAAGTGTTCATGAAAGTTGGAGATTCCTGACAAGTTGTTCCCTGCCATGGTGAAGGAGAACTTCCTCCTGCTCTGATGAACTGGGAGGGAAATGTTGTGGCATTTCTCCAGAGAAAAGATGACATCAAGGAAACCAGCTGAGATAGTGGCAGATAACATTGTGAACTGGCTCCAGAGAGAGAAGGCGTAAGCCAGACCCTGCAGGCCATTGGAGGACAGCACCAACACGAACACAGGGTGGCAAGGGGGGTCATACAGTGGATAGAGCGGAAGATTGGGAGGAAGCTGGTCTGGATTGTTTGTGACCTCCACACCAACGAGTTGCCACTCAGACATCTGATCCAGGAGCTGGATGGCAAGACTCTTTCAAACAACAGATGGTCTGGTCCTCTTGGCAAGATGCTGGACTCTGCCACTGAGTTAGAAATAAATCCAAGCTTTGAAAAAATCACAGTTGGCCCTCCACTCGTTGAGCTTGCACATACTGTAATTGACGACCTGAGTACTGACCAGTGCTATGGTTACATGATTTGCAGTGCCATCAAAACTGGGGTCATGCCTGATAGACTTGCTTACCTGCAGATAGGTCCAGTCTCACATTCTAGGTGGCTCACAACGGCTCTCAGGTTCTGCAGAATTTGGGTCGCTCATCATAAACTGAAAAGGAACCAGCTTCACAACCTGAGACTTATTGTCCAATTCATCGTGAGTGTCTACTTGCCAAATTGGTTCAACACCAAGGTCAAGTCATTGTTCTCCGAAGGTCCGAGGCATGTTCTCTTCCAGCTTGAGCTCCTGAGGAGTCAGCCAAGGAAGGTTGTTCAGATTGTGGAGCAGACTGTGAGGAGATCTTCCTGGTATGCTCATCCGAGGCAGTTCTGCAGACAATGCTCTGCAGTAAGGATGAGGAGGAGAGAAGAGTGGCAGTCAAAAAGATCTTGGATATGAGACTTATGAGAGGATCTGGGCATGACGAATCAGTTGGTGACGATTCCTTCAGGGTCAGGAAGACTCCTGAAGTCAATCTAGGTGCCAAGACCCTCACTGATCTCATAGATCTGGATAACATCCAGGCTGGCAGTGAGCCCCCTCTTACCTGCAGCCTCACCAATGTTCAAGTCAGAGCTTTCCTGGACAACCCCATGCATGTCCCTGCCTGGCCCTCGCACACCCAGAGTATAGAGCGTTGTGTACAGCAAGTGAGCGAGGCCAGCAGTCACGTGTACAGCCAGGAGAGGAGGGAAGGCTACATCCGAGCTCAGGTGGTCAGCAGGAGGTGATGAGTAGAAACAAAGCAAGAAAGACATGTTCTCTATGGTGTGCAGCAACACCGGGTCGTAGTAGTAAACCGGTTTTGTATTTGATGATTTTGTTTCTAAAGGAATATTAAATTTAATAAATGTGTCAAGATCATTCGTTTCACTATTCTGGATCATTTTCATCCTAATAAATTAACCTGATACATTTACTTTACTTTAAATAAGCTATTTAGTGGTGTTGGTAAAAGGGTGGGAATACTGAATTTTCATAAGATTTCAAGTTAAAATTTACCTAGCAAAAAATGAAAACTTTTCAAATCTGAAGATATCACATGATTCTGCACATAGAACTACATCATTAATACCATGAGCCGATTTTTCAAACTAAAAAAAAAAAATTCGCCTCCGTATGACACACCCTAATGGGTCATCCAATCCAATCCCTATACCAATCTGAGTTGTTAGAATCAAAGAACCTTCATTATTTTATACCAAATGTCAAAGCTCCAAAAATATCATCAATCTTTCTAGAAGATAAGACTTACAGCTTTACCAGTTTTTTGTCATATTGGATAAAACTTTTATGATTTTGATCTTATATTTTTTTGGCACATTCTGTATGAAAGATTATGTGTATGTAACAAAACTTAAAAAAATTAAGAAAATTACATATGTCTACCCAAAATTACTTGCAGTGACAGCTGGGGGATTGCAACTCAATGCTGTACACGCACATAATTATCATGTAAGGTAAGTGGAAATTTTTTTTATTTTGTATAAAATTTTTTGTTTTTTCTTTATTTGGGATAAATGTTTTCTTTTTTTATAAACTTATTTATTTCATGCCTATAAATTGTTTGAGTTATTTAAACATTATTTAATCATTATAGCAGGATATAAAATTTTGGGGGGATCTTTAGTCTCAGGAACAGAACCTGTTTTTCTATTTTTCCCAAAAGGTTATTAATAGTGATATACAGTACGATCAATCATGTAGCAATGGCTTTTTGGGGTTCCTAAGCCCATCATATAACGGTCATGAAATATGTTTCTTCTCACCTGTATACTATTGCCTGGGTGAGTTCAGTTGCAGGTTTTCGGCTACATTTATCTTCCACAATTTCTATACCTATGCAAAGACCCATCCCTCGTACATCTCCAATACAGGAATGCTTTGCTTTCAGTAGCTGAAGGTTTTCTAACAATGCCTTTCCAACAGCTTTAGCACTTTGAACCAGCTTCTCATTTTCAATTACATCCAAAACTGCCATGCCAATTGCACATGCAACTGGATTTCCACCAAACTGAAAGAAAACAAAAACAAATACAAATGGAACTTTCTTGAATTATTAGAAATAACATCCATTTACACACGAGTCTAAAAAATAAGGAAAGTTTTCTACCAAACAATTAACAAATTATTTGTCATCCATTTCACTACACACAGGAGACAGCTCAAAGCAGCAGAGATACAGCTCCTCCACTACTCGGTGGAGACCATGGTCTATTGCAGAATTAACTTTCTGGGCTTTCTTAAAATATTTATTTAATAATGTCGATGCAGTTTATGTGATTTGATGTGTCATTTTGGGAAGGTTAAGTTGGTTACCCAAAGTTGTTCTACAGTAAAGGTCTGTCGAGTCCAGTACAATAGTGAATTTAACACGTTAAAGGGCACTGCTTACGAGGATTTCCGATGAACAGATGCATACCATTATGATATACCCACGCAAAATGAGACCCCACTGTACCTGTGGGCTTCTGTACATGTAACTGAACAAAAAAAAATTAAGAAAATTAATGTATACATGTCTCTACCCAAAATTTTTAATTTAAAAAGAAATAACCATAACATATACTGGTAGTTCATGGCACTATGAATAAGTTTCATCAAGTGGGGAATGGTTAGAAATTTCCCAAATCGACCTAGTTGTGAGAAGGTTAACAAGAAAAAAGAAAAAAGAAAAGGAGCAGCAGAAAACTGGAGCTCAATGTCGTCAAAATAAAGACAATTCTTAGTATTAAAATATCCCCTAAAACCACTTGGTGGAGCTCTGCAACATACCCAAAATTTGGTAAACCTTAACTCAAAAACTTAATGGAATTTGGTACTGAAATTTTGCAAGCAAACATCATGTCGTCAGATGTGAACAGGAGTAAAATTTCATAAAAATCGGAGATTATCATTCAGAAACATTCCGGAATTTTGGGTGATTTGGCATGTAAATCAACCATCACAAACCTTTAACATATGTTGTTATACAACAATAAAAATACTCAAAGTGAATTTATCTCATATGAAAAATTGGTACAGTATTACCCCACTTTACGCGGTTTCACTTTCCGCTTTTTCTCATTTACGCGGTGCCTCGCCAGAACCGAACTTCGAACTTTCACTTTCCGCGGTTCATCTACCCATATACGCGCAGAGTGTCTGGCTCGACGCTATTTTTAGATTCGCCCCTCCCGCCTGCTATTGCCTACGCCTGGGCAAGCCGCGCGGTAAGGTTGCGCAGTGCATGTCTCTGTTGCGTTATCAGTGACGTCATATGACGTATCGAACTGTGATTGGCCATGCATCCCTACCTCCCTCCGCTGCTAGCTGTAATTGGTTTAAAGTAATATGACGTGTCCACCCGCGGGAGGGAGGGAGGAAAGACGACGCTTGACCTAACCGCGGCAGTTTCATCCCTCCAGGCCACATCGTGTATACGTGAATCCATTGTTCTGTGAAATGGCTTCCGCCGGACCACCGCCACCAGAGAGAAACCTTTCCTTACCTGGACCCAGCCGCCCTAACCCAAAGAAGATACGACGTTCCCTAAGCTACGAAGTGAAATACCAGATAATTCAAGATGTGGAGAAAGGAACACGTCAAGCTGATCTCGCGCGCCAGCATGGAGTCAACGAATCTACGATTCGTACTATTAAGAAGGATGCAGCCAAGATCAAAGAGCACATGAGAATCACAAAGTCTGCAGGTGCTTCAATGATCAAGTATTGCCAGAACAAGGTGCTGCAAAAGGTGGAAAATTTGCTGGTGAGTTACTTGATTCGTCAGGCGCGACGCAACATGGCGGTGGACACGCGATCCATTCAAGAGTACGCACGTGAACTATACGCAGCAGTGTCACGTAAGATGGGAATTGCAGAGCCCAAACCCTTCAATGCTTCCTCTGGTTGGCTGCATAGGTTTAAGAAGAGGAACAATATCACCAACATCAACATTGGTGGTGAAGAAGCGAGTGCTGACCGTGTGGCGGCTAGAGATTTTCCTCCGTTCTTACGTGAGGTTATGGAGGAAGGGCAGGACACTGACGACCAGGTGTTCAACATGGACGAATCCGGCCAATTTTGGAAAAAGCTGCCAACCAAGACCTTTGTTGTCCAGTCTGCCAGCAAGGTTCGGGGTCGGAAGTTGCAGAAGGAGCGCATCACCGTCCTCTTTACCACCAATGCCTCTGGTACCTGTAAACCAAAGTTATCGGTGATTCACACAGCCCGCAAGCCGCACGCCTACAAGAACGTGGACATGAGCAAGATTAATGTCCATTGGCTGACCGCACGCAAGGCGTGGATGTTCTCTGCTCTGTCACTCTCCTGGTTTGATGACTGTTTCATTCCCGACGTGAAGAAATTCTGCGAGCAAAAAAATGTTCCATTCAAGATTTTGTTGCTCCTTGACAACGCACCAGGACACTCGCCCCTACTTATGGATCGTCACCCCAACGTAAAAGTGGTCTTCCTTCCTCCCAACACTACGTCATTAATCCAGCCCATGGACCAGGAGTTGATCTGAAATGTTAAAGCTGCATACTCGGCAAAGAAATTCAAGCTCCTGAATGACTGTACCAACACCAAGGATGAGTTGCGTAAGCTGGGTGACACCGACAGCGAGAGTAAAAGCGACGAGGACAAGGAACAAGAGGTGGCGACTCAAGAAGTTCTTGTCAAACAGTTTTGGAAGAAATTTAACGTCAAACAAGATGTAGACTTCTTGGTGGAGGCATGGGATCAGCTGTCTATAGCTACGATTCGTCACGCATGGAGGCATGTGTTGCATGGCATACCAGGTGAGAGGCGGAGTCAACCTGTGACTGGTGAGGTTCAGTCTGTGACAGTGGCATTGGACCTTGCAAGAGAAGCTGCGCACAGTATTACAGCTGAAGGCTTCTCCGAGACCACCAACGAAGACATCCTGGAGGTGATCAGAGATCCTGAAATGACTGCCGACAAGATGTTGGAAGATGATAACGTCAGTGAAGAGGAAGGTGGTGCATCAATCCCAGAAGAACACAAATTAACGCATAGTAATATTCAGGGTGCCATCGAGTGTGCAGAAAAATTAAAGCTCTTCCTTTCCAACGACCCTGACGATGACCGCTATGAAGTCTTCCATACCCGGTTGGTGCAGGCTATGGAGCCGTACATCAAGGTGTATCAAGACAGCATCAACACTAGCCGTCAAAAAAGCATTACCGAGTTCTTCGCCCGCAACCCACCACAGCCAGCCAGAGCCAGTGATAGTGACAGTGAAAGTGACTTTGAGGGATTTGTCAGGGAAGCCCTGACAACTATAACTGATAGTGATGGTGATGCACCTAGTAATGGTGATTCACCTGAGGGCCAGTAATCTGCCCTCTGCCTCGGAACCAACCTCCATCCCCGTATACCGACCCATCTCTTCTACTAACGTAAGTGTTACACCCAACCTTTAGTTTTCCTAACCTAACCTTTATTTTTCCTAACTTAACCTTTATTTTTCCTAACCTAACCTCTTCTATATTAATTGTGTGTGCATACCATCATAAAGTTAAGATAATATTTTTACTACAACATAGTTGTGTGTCGTCAAAAAGTGGAGTTTGGGGGTCGGGCCAGTCTCTATTGGAATTAATCCCATATGTTCTGTTGTTCACTTTACGGGATTTCACTTTCCGCGGTACCCTGTGGGTTCAATTGACCGCGTAAATCGGGGTACTACTGTATACATTTTGAAAGAGTACCAACTGATTCAATGCTCTCTAAATATCTAAGTTCTAAAAACTGTACAAACAAAGATACTGTACTCACAGTGGAATAGTATTCCCCAAGAGCATCAGCAATTTCTCTAGTAGTTATCACAGCTGCCATAGGATGACCATTACCAAGAGGCTTACCTATAGTAACAATGTCTGGAACAATGCCATGTTGCTGAAAATAAAATAAAATATTCCAATTAGGTGCTGCACTGCCTGTTTCAGAAGTATGAAATCAAGTCTGTTACTTTGAACCTTTAGATTCATTCATATCGGTTTCATGTTCTGGTTGGTACTGAGACAGTTTTAAACACCTGAAGCAGGCAGTGCAGCAATAGCTGCCTGGGAGAGTTAAACTTTTGGGTGAGAATGTACCAGTACAGTAATATGCTCTAAGGAGACTATTATGTGACAAATTCATTAATGCTTCCTGGTTCAACTAAATAACGAATGCCTCATGACTATTACAATACAGTCATGCGCCGGTTAACATCCGACCGAACAACGTCCGATCGTATATACGTCCGTGGCCCCCCCCCCCAAAAAAAAACCACGTGATGCCTGCTGAACCGCCACTCCACGACCCCCTGACGGAGACACGATGATCCTCCCCATACTAGTCAGATATTATGTGTTAAAGGAATATGCTTCCTTACTTAGGCTATTCTAAGCGCTTGCCTACAGGTGAAATGTTAACCTACATCTATTAAGGATAAAATCTTTCACCTACAAATTGACAATAACACATTTGCTGTAATCAGACATATCTAGTTGCCTCAACAATTGCAAGTTGCAATTGGGGTTGCAATTTCAAAATCTGTGGCATTACTAAAAATAGTAAAGTTTCTGGTGCACTCTAAGATTAAGAGAGAAAACGGAGGACTCAGGCGTCCTGATGTGAGAGAAAACGGACTCGTATGATGGGGGACCAAATAAAAAAACATAGCTTCATGTTTTGTGGACTATAGTATTAAGCGTACCCTTTTCATCACTTTGTAATAAACCTAGCCATGCCTATGTGTGTTTATATTTACCATAACATTACATATATATTTAGTGGGCATACATGGTCGTAAAATGGGAAACTTGGGGTTGGGTCTTGGGTGCCAGGAACCAATTAGAATAAATCCCATAGGTTCTGTACTTTCGTTATTGGCGGGGTCCCAATTAGGCGCGATAACCAAGGGATGACTGTATATACTTGTGACACTGGCCAGTTGCTTCTGGTGTTATGGTACAGGGGTACCAAGTGACAGCACTAGGATCCCACTTCCTCTATCAAGGAACAAATAATTAAAATTTAAATTGGAAAAAAAAAAAAAAATAAAAAAATAAAAAAAAAATAAAAAATTCAAATAAATTACTATCTTACAAGAATCCCTCCAATGTAAGTTATATTCGCCCAGATCATTTGGGTGGAAAATTATGAGAAGAGCTTAGTCACTCTTAAGTAATGATAAATAAACACGCAGGCAGGCCTTCAGCGCCAACTGTCAAATCTTATCTCAAATAAATAAAAAACAAACGCCAGACATTCTGTCACCTCACCTCCCGCCCCCTCCCTCTTCCCGCCACCCTCGTGTTCAAGATAAAAGATTGGTGATTTCTTTATGCTTATTTTATATAATATCTCGGACTAAAGTTACGATAATATAATTTGCATTGCTGAAATCCTTGCAAGACAGAGATTAATTTGAATATAAGAGTCCTATATTTTGCTCGATATAAAAAATGTAGTACATTAGTGTACAATGTACATTTTATAAAAAGTTTTTCAACTGTATTTTTGGGTAGATTTACACAAATTTCTTCATTTATTTTCACCCATTACATTCACACACCATACTAAAATAAACGTAAAATAAATTAGTGCAAAGCTGGACTGCACATGTACTAATTTGATTACAGTACTAAAATTGTTATGTCTAGTGCAAATTACAACATGTTTATATTCAAATAAATCAGTATCTTACAAGAATCCCACCCTCCCAACCCCTCGCTGGGTGGCGGAGCCGTCAGTCCCAGCCAGGCTTTTAGGCTTACAGTTTTTATCTTATATAATATCTCAGACTAAAGTTAGGAGATTATAATTTGCATTGCTGGAATCCTTGCAAGATAGCCAATAATTTGAATATAAACGTCATATATTTTGCTCAAGAGATAAAAATTGTTGTACATTAGTGTATTTTTGGGTAGATTTACATAGATTTCTTAGTGCAAAGCTGGAGTGCACGTGTACTAATCTGATTACGGTACTAAAATTGTTTTGTCTAGTGCAAATTATAGCATGTTTATATTGAAATTAATCAGTATGTTACAAGAATCCCAGCTATGTTAATTATATTCACCCAGGTCATTTTACTGGCTTTTTATAAGAGAGAAGCTTAGTCACCTAAGAACTGATAAATATACACGCGTTAGACCTGGGCCTGTGCCAACTGTCAAACGTGCTACCTCCCCTCCCCCCCACGCCCCCTCGCACCCTCTCTCTCCTCCATCTGCTGGCGTTGCTGGAATCCTTGTAAACCAGTGAATAATTTTAATATAAACGTCATGTATTTTGCACAAGAGATAAAAATTAATCACCTGTATCACATTACAGTAGTGATTTAAGAGTAAAAGTGTATATGTACGTATATAGTATTCCACATACACGTAAGTATAAATAAAAAGTTTATGTGATGATCGGACAACGTCCATTTCGGTTAACGTCACGTTTCCAAGAACGTATCTAGGACGTTAACCGGCGCATGACTGTACTCTTAACCTCTGTAATTCATGGGCTTCTGAATATGGAGGACATCTCATGAAAATCATTTGACAACACACAGACACACAGATATTTAAAAGTATCTACCTCAAAAGCCCAAAAATATTCCCCAGTCCGACCAAGACCTGTCTGAACTTCATCTGCTATACATACTCCTCCAGCTTCACGGATCAAACTGAAAGAGTGTACAGTACTGCAGTTAACACACTGTACTATATATATATTTCACAAAGTTCCAATATTTTGGGGGAACTATCAATGATATTTCTTTTAATTTTTCTAAAGCTTGGTGTACGAACCTCTGTTCTGCATGGCAGTGAACAGTGACATTACCCCCATGAATCTGACCTATATATATATATTTCTTTATAAAATCACATGGGAAAATGGAAACAACGGAGCACCTTAGCTTTTGTCTTTATTCAAGATGTCTTGAATAAAGATGAAAGCTAAGGTGCTCCGTTGTTTCCATTTTCCCGTGTGATTTTATCAAGATTTATCTTATCCACGTTTTCATTGTGGATTTACATGAAATATATATTTATTTATATATATATACAGGGTGTCCCATACATTTCCATACATAGGAAAAATAAATTGTATATGAAAAAAGAACAGTGTATTAAAGGAAAAGCAGCCTGGGATCAGAAGAGGAAGAGAATGTGTGGATCAAGTGTTTCTGGGGATGGTGAAGAATTTGCTTGTTTGATTTTATGGATCAAGAAAAAAAAATACAGAGAAAAAAAGACAAATGAATTGGAGAGTACTGAATATGTTTAGGGGTTTCCATTTTGGATATTATTGAATGCTATCCAGTATTTTTATAAGGAGAAAGAATCACGCACCCGAGTTTGTTTGTAAGGGGAAAATACTGCTTCCCAGTGACTGTATGATTAAGTCAAGGATGTATAATTTGGCCTGGTTGTTTAAGTAGTTTCGTGGATGGGCTAGCAAGAGAGGTGAAAGCAAGAGAATTGGAGCAGGGTAAAAATTTTTGTTAAAAAGAAAAAGAAAGTACAATACCTGTATAGTAATCCTGCATTTTTCGCAGGAATTACATTCCTGAAACCCCTGCGAAAAGCCAAAACAGCAAATACTCTTTTAGGAATCACTGTACCTGTGGCCACCTAACAGCTCAGGTAGGTCATGCACTTAACCACGCCATGCTCTCCACTCACGGCCCAATGGTCACACTGATCACTGATGCACTGTACCGGCATTTACTAACATCATTATTTGAAACTCATCATATTGTAGTATAATACAATGTAATGGAAAAAGGTAAACACAGTTAAAAAAAAAATTATTTACAAGTAAATAAATTTTTTTTTATTTCGCTGAGGTCGGTAACACCCGCATTGCCAGCCACTCCCTACTGTCCCGGCTTCTGCCAGCCCTCACGCAATCACGCCAGCCTGCCAGTCCTCTTCCACCCACATTCCTCCACTTGAAGACTTGTATTCTGACAAAAAACACAAATGAATTGTCAGTCTTCATCACATCTCGAGCCATAGCTCATACCACCTCTGAGCTTGTCCAATAAAACTGTTTTTTCCGTTAAGGTCATCACTATTCTTGATCTCTTGGTCACTTTAGAGTCTTTGGTTGTAATATTTGCCTTTGATGAGGCTGGCTTACATCCCGGAGCCATGTGGAATGCATGTGGGAGGACAAACAGAAAAGGTAATCACAGTAGCGTTTTCAGTAGGCACGTGTGGACTGAGGCTTCTCGGAGCAGCGGGTGTCTGAGGCGGGAAAGGGTGGCGTCTGTTTGCGGCACTGCACAGGGGATATTGATAACCACAAGGAAACAAGAAAACACAAAGTTCCCAAGCGCTTTCGTGTAATTCACATCTTCAGGGGTGAGTACAGACTAAGAAATAATACCTGACAAGGCGAATACAGGTAGTCCCCGACTTACGACTGCTTGGACTTACGTCCATCGGTACTTACGACCTGCTCTGACCTTACGACAGTCAGGACATACGACCGCTGCATTTGTGACCAAAAATATTTTCAAATGACGGGCGCATTTCCTATACCGAAACGTTTCTGTCCCGGGCGAGAGCGTGGCGGGCTCTGGTCGCCGAGTGGGTACACTCACTCAGTGGAGCGCTTAGTTGGTGTTTGGCTATCGTATCGTATACTGATTGCGCTGTGAACTTTCGTTAATATCGCATTTAACTGACTTTATAATGACTGGAAAGCGTAAAAGTGAGAGTGCTGGTGGTGCTCCAAAGAAAAGGAGACAGGCAATTACTTTTGAGATGAAAATGAAGATAATAACTCAGCATGAGAATGGAAAAACTGTAGCAACAATCTCAAGTGACCTAGGTTTCTCACACTCGACCATATCCACTATTCTGAAGGACAAGGAACGAATTCGTGATGTAGTGAAAGGAACAAGACCTCTAAAGGGAACTATAATTTCAAAGAAAAGACAAGGTCCTATTCACGATATGGAAAAATTATTGGTGATATGGATAGAAAACCAGATACAGAAGCGTGTACCCTTAAGCCTTCTAACCATACAGGCTAGAGCAAGAAGCCTGTTCCAAAGCCTGAAGGAGCAGGCAGGAGATGAATGTGATCAAACCTTTACAGGAAGTCATGGGTGGTTTGATAGATTTAAAAAATGCTACAGTCTACACAATGTTAAGGTGAGTGGAGAGGCAGCTAGTGCCGATGTGATGCCGAAGCTTTTAAGGAGGAGTTAGATGAAGTGATTGTGGAAGGGAATTATTTGCCTGAGCAAATATTCAATGTGGATGAGACTGGATTATTGTGGAAGCGCATGCCTGAGCGGACATACAGTTTCAAAGAAGTTAATGAAAATGAAGTTATTTCGGATATTAGTAACAAGATAGTGGAGTTAGGTAAACAGCTGGAGTTAGAAATTGATAATGAAGATGTTGAACAGTTGGTTGAAAGTGTAGCAGAAGAGCTCAGTAACGAGGATCTTGTTGAACTAGATGCACAGAAAATTGCAGAGGAAGAAGAGACAAAATGTAGAAGAAGAACCTGCACCCCCCAAAAAGTTTTCAGTGAAACAAATGGCAGAGGCATTTGCTACAATTAATAAAGGAATGCAAATGTTTGATGGCATGGATCAAAATTTTGAGCGTTATGCCAAAGTTGACAGAATGATCCAAGATGCACTTGCTTGCTACAGAGAAATTTATAATGAAAAGAAAAAACAAACTGTGCAGTCTAAATTGGACATCTATTTTAAGAAGTCCCCCAGTGCTGTCTCCTCACGCCCCACCAGTGCTGCCTCTTCACTCCCTCAAGATGATCCAATACCTTCAACCAGCAAGTTTCCACAGTACATAAACCTGCCTGAAGAAAGCAACATTGATGACCCACCCAGCCCTGTCTCCTCCTCTGCTTCATCCAACTAATATAGTCTCCATGTATCCTGTAAATAGAAAATTATGGGGGCCCCGTGTGCATTCAGCTGACTACATTAAAGGTAAGTGCTCAGTCACACTGTATCCATTCCTCATTATTTATTACTTTTACTGTACTGTATTTCATTGTAGATTTTTTATTTTTATATATTTATTTTATTTTTTTATCTATGTCGGACTTACGACCTGGATTTGGGTTCCTAACCCCGTCGTAAGTCGGGGAGCACCTGTATATACAGTAGAGCTGCTGTGCTTAGAGATAGCATGGTCAATTTTTTTATTAAGAAGATTAGTAAAGGTCACACTGGCTTATGACCGGAACATTGTGGATCTCTGCTGCCCCCTAGGGACTTGATCTCACTCTCCTCTACTGTATATATTAGCCTTGTCAAGTATTACTCCTTAGTCTGTACTCACCCCTGAAGATGTGAATTACACGAAAGCGCTTGGAAACCGTGTTTCCTTGTGGTTATCAGCACATATACAGGTGTACAGTGATCCTTCGGTTAATGAATTACCTTCCATAAGAATCTTCAACTCGATGAACGAACAAAAATTTGGTTAACGAAATCCTTACGATATCGTGTCAACATGTTTTCGCCTGCTCACCGGCTGGAGTATTAGTCCACCAATACAGCAATCGGCTTTTGGGCTTAAACTCGTTACCATTTGAGTAAATATCAAAAAGGTTGTACTATTCAATAATTTTCCAAGTCTTATATTAAAATTTTTAGTCATTTTAACAATTATTTAACATAATTGAAGTACAGAGAACTAGTTTTTAGCGCGCCAAACACCCAGAATGGCGTCAGTTTGTGTCTCCTCAGTGGAGGTAGCATCTTGCTTGAGACTCTCTTGAACATAAACTATTTTTACATTTTTACAGTACAATTATTGGTCATTCTGAAATTTATTTTACATATTGACAATATATAGTGCAGTGCAGTGTTGATTTAAAGAAAATAATCTTGAATTACACCAAGTGAACTTAAAATTTTATGGGTGAAATGGCAGCATGAAGCATAGGGTGACTTCTCTTCCACCCCCACTGCCTTCTCTTCTCCCTTCTCCTCCACCCCCACTTCTAATTCCCATCATCATCAACCAGGAGCCTTCTACATGCACACCTCAAAGTAAGTGTACTTTACTGCATTTATTTTTAGTTTGTATGTAATTTTCGGTGAGCTGGAACCAATTACCCAAAATCCCATTGAAACAATGGTTTTGGTTAACGAGCGACCTTCTGGAACGAATTGTGTTCGTTAACCGAGGGACCACTGTGTGTGTGTGTGTGTGTGTGTGTACATATATATGGTACAAATTTCTCGTTTTCTATGATAATCTACTTCTCAAAATTAGGTAATATTTCTCAAAAGGTCGATAATCTACTTCCTCGAAAAGTAGATAATCTACTTTTCGGAAAAGTAGATAATCTACTTTTCGGAAAAATAGAGAACCAACTTTTCGGGAAAGTAGATAACCAACTTTCCCGGAAAGTAGATTATTTCCCATTTTCTATGATACTAATGTCCCGTTTTCTATGATAAGTAGAAAACCAACTTTCCTAGAAAGTAGATATTTTCCATTTTCTGTGATACAAATTTCTCATTTTCTATGATAATCTACTTCGGAAAATTAGGTAATACAGTGACCCCTCGTTTAACGAACACCTCGGTTAACGTAATTTCGATTAACGAACTGCCTTCCATAAGGATCTTCAATTCGTTTAACAAAAAAAATTTCGCTTAACGAACTTCTTACGAAC